ATAATCTATAATCTATTAGTATTTTATTACTTCAAAAAATTGTTCTTTTTTTATTGCAAATTGTTCTTTTTTTATTGCAGATAAAGAATTTTTTCAGCTACATAAATGTGATTATAACGTGAATTATGCCATTGAGGCAATGAATAAAAATGATGAACATATGCTTAAAGTGACCAATTTTATGAGTGTTGATGATGCCAAGAAATTTGCCCGTGGCATTAAAACATATGGAAAAAATTTCTTAAAAATCAAGAAGGAACTACTACCACATCATCGTCGAGTAAGCTATAATTTTTTTTCGGATGACGTAATTTACAATAATGTAGTTTTGTGTAAAATGTAGAGTTCATATGATAGATATAACACTACTCAAAAAATATTTATTTATATTCATACGGATTAGTTTGAGTAATGCATAATAACAATGGAGAGATTTTTCATGGTTATTTAAGCCAGATTTTGTTTTCTCTATTAAGGTCAATAATATTGCTTACATTTGCTTATAGCCGAAGTAATCCGTAAAAAGTTTTCAAGTGAGTTCTTTTTGAGTAGTACTGTGTATTGTAATTCATGCATAATTATTTAATGTTTTGTCGAATTTCAGTTTTCAAAAAACTCTTTTGTTTTGAAAGATTTGTAATTTCTTTTCAGGATGAATTAGTGCAGTTCTATTATGGATGGAAAAAAACTCGCGATGCAACAAGGCCTAAGCCATTAGCTCGGCAGCGAAATACGGCAACTGCTACACATCGAAAACCAAAGAGCAACCAGTTGAAGGTCATTCGCTTAATATTTTTGTTTCCTGTTTCAATTTTTTGCAATTTTATATTAGTAGACGATATCGCATTTAATTTTCGGTGCAAGTAAATATCTTATGAACAGTTTAATGCATAATATCAATTCAAATTTCAGGCATCTCGTCCTGGCAGTACTGATTTGGCTGATTATGCATCCGCAAGCGAGACTGAAATGGAGGAGTTAGAAAATGATGGTCGTGCTGCAGCGTATGCTTGTCATCATTGCTACACATCAAGTAATATTATTCATTAGTTTTCCGTGGTGTAATTTTTCAATCTTCTGTTTTTCCGTTTTATTCATCTTGTGGTTTAAATTTGAAATTGATATAAATTCTCTGTTTCAATATTTCATCCTAAATTCGATCTCATAATTTAAAAACTCCTATCTTTAGAAAGTAAAGATTGGCATCATTCGGGTAGAGAACGTCAGTTGCTTTGTACTGAGTGTCGAATTTTTTATAAGAAGTATGGACAACTGCGTCCGGTTGATCGGCCAAGCACCGTTCCACCATCACTGTACAAACCAAGAAGCCCTGAAGGCAACGAGGATGAGGTGGAATATATTTATTGATCGTTTTTTACGGAAACATGTTTAATATTTTCCTCTTGTATGCCATTTCATCTAACGAGTTCATTCTCAAATTCGAAAATAAAGCGAAACATTTGAAACTGATGGGAGAAAAAAAATGAATTTTAGGAACAAGGAGTAAGGACACGAGCCAATAAAAAGGAAAGACGTGGCACTTCATTAGAGGTGGATAAAAAGAGTGTCAGTTCACCAAATGATGGCGAAATGACGAAGCAAAGAAACGGAAAAAGGAAGCGAAATCATGCACAAAATAATGAATATGTTAGTTATTTCTCCATTTACTATCCTATTAGAGTCCGTGTAGTATGTTTCATCTGTGTAGTTTAAGGTAAATGGGAATGCAAAGAAGCGATTTGTGAAAGGAGAGAAGGAAGATGAAAATACCGATGTGCAGGAAGAAGATGAACCGGGTGTCAGTTCAGAAGTTCATACCAGTGATAATTCTTCAAATGCTGGAAAGGTTTTTCCTTTTCATAATTTATTAAATTTTTATCTAGGCGATTTGTTTTTATACATAGGAGCAATAACATTGTCTTTGACAGTGATATATTTTTATTCCATTTTCTGTTTGTCATTATGTTTACGCGTAATTCATAGATATTAATAAAATTTATAGAGAAATGAAGCAGAAACATCTCCAGAATCAGAGTCAGTTTCGTCATCATTGAAAGTAATTAGTATTGATGAAGAAGGAAAGCACTGTGCGGGGCAAGCAAAGACATCCTTATGTGTGGAAAAAGGAAGTCCAAGTGTTGAACTACAAACTTCTATTTCTCTTTCAACCAGTGCTGCTGCAAATGAACCGCCTTCAGCTTCCGGCACTACTGAAAATGAAGTTGCGGAAGCTGTAGAAATTGCAACGGAGCAACCGAGCACAAGTTTCGTGAAGCCAATCGATCGGACCCCTCCTGATGTAAGCTTTCGTTACTCACATCTAATTTATAATTTGATAATATGAGATTTATGCAAATTTTTGAAGGTTCTCAAAATATTCGCTCCTTATAGCAACGTTTTTTATAAAACTGTCTGTAGTTTTATGTCTTTGTGAGTGTATGAGTGCTTGCGCATGGTGTTATATGTACTTTATTCTTTCATGGAGTTTCACAACTGCTAAAATGAAATGCAATTTAGATTTACTAATTGATAGTTTCTGAATTTCTTGCAGGAAATGAAAACAGAAGAGGAAGATTCAGATGATGGTTATTGGACTGTAAATAATACAGTAGCCGAAACGACAAAAAATGCATTGCTTATTCGAGTTATCGATCGGCGCTGTGGTCAAATGTGCGCGCGTACAGATTTAGCTTTTCGTATGAAACCTGGTTCAGAATGGGATAAGAAACGAGAAGCTCGTTCTGCCCTCAAGAACCACATAAATAATACACAGAAAAAGGTCAGTAGAGATGTTGCTTTTTTTTTTCATAGCTTATAGTTTTACATGAATTATGTGAAATGCTAGTCACTTGTTTCACTTTATTCCTAAATTAGTGATTAACTGTGCTTAGCTCAGTCTTGATTGACTACTTAAACTGTTTGTGAAATTAATTTGTATCTTCTCATTTTTTTCTTTTACATTACATTACTTTTGTTAAAAATAACTTTTTAGCCCAATGAAACGTTCCCAACTCCAGTTACAGTGCCGAAATTGCCATCTGCGCAACTTGCACCTTTGTCGGGTACACCAAATGTTGAAGCATTCATGGGAGGTCGGGTCCCCATGAATGGCACTGCAGTTTCTGCTTTACCAGGAATGTTTCCCGGTATACCGGATCCACGATTCGGTTTCCTTACTCCTCAACAGCAGTATGCTATCGCTGTCGAACAGGTATTTTTCCGATTTGCAACATTCCCTTCCAATTAATAAAACACCATACTTGACATTGACATAAAAGTTAAAGAGTTATTTTTTTCAGCAAGTTTTTCAAAAGCAAATGGAACAGCAGCTGCGAGCACATCAGCTAGAGATGATACGAAATGGTGCGAATGGTACAGTGACGACGGGTTCTACAGTAGCAGCTGTTCGTGATTCTCCGTCTCGTGGTGGTACCACCGCCACCGCTGTTAATGCTCACGGATTTCCTCCCAACATGCTTCCAACACCTTTTCATAATTTTGGGATGGATCCGAGAGCCTTAGCTGCACTGATGCATAATCCACAGCTTGCTTCGCAATTTGGGATGGGTATCGATAGTCATACCGCAGCAATGATGAGTGCCTTGGAGCAGCGAAATAATTTGGAGCAGCGCATGCTTAGTTAGTTTTTTATTGAGTTTTAAAAGTTCTAAGAAGCGTCATATTTAACTTTATGCACAAAAAAACATTTGTCTATTACCAAAATTTAAATCCATGCTTAGCCATTTTTCAGTGCAGCTGTGGTAAATTGACAAAATTTGGAATTTGCATAGTATTATATACATATTTACTTAGTTAGTTTTTTCTACTTAACAAGTGTATCATTTGTTAAGTAGATGAGTAACATTGCATGTATGATATGTGTTTTAATCTGTACTGGAAAGTTTCATATTCAAAAACATTTACAATCTACTCAGATGATATTTTCGGCTTTAGTTACATGCCGTTAATCTTAAAAATATGCACACAAACAGTAATTAATAATTACAGGTATGGCTGGCATGGAAATGCTGGCTCCTGGTGGAATACCGGTATCTCAAGCACCGCAATCCCATCTCCACCCACATGCTGCTGCGATGATGCAGCATGCAGCCGCTACACATCCTGGTATCGTTTAACTAACTTCACTGATTCATTCTCATATAAGGAACAGTGCCATTTTGTGGTCATGGTCTTTTCCGTATTAGATGTATCTAGAAGTTATTAGAATGCATAGAAAGTCTCGAAGTCGTACATGTCTGTGGAATGGCTAATTAATTAATGATTTACATGATCGCAGGTGATGCAATTCAATTGCAACAACTATTGGCTATGTCAGCAGCGGCGCAGGCTCAAGCACAGCGTCCTTTTCTAGAACAGAATGCTCTTTTGCAAATGACGATGATGAATCCATTCAATAATGAATTGGGATCTCGAATCGTAAATCCTGGCTCATTGAATTCTGATATGATGCGGCGGTTACAGCAGGAAGGTGGTTTCGCAACTACACAGAGGCCGTAAATGAATAATAATTGATCTATTCTTTTTGATGTTATAAAATTATTAATAAAAATGAAAACAAGTCTTTCGTAGAAATGTTTAACTACTTTTAATAGGATTGCCAGTTGGGACTTTATAGCATTCGCATTATCACTATTTTGAATAGGGAATCGATGAGATTATTCTTATCCTTTTTGTGTAATTATGAAAATTGTCGAAATGGTATTATTTATATATATATATATATATATTCGTAGATCAATAACGACGGTTTTGTTTGTAATCAAGAAATATTGGTAATTGATTAACAATACATGATTGGTGGCTGGTTAGGCGCTTCTTTATTTCTGATTTTTTCCAAAAGAATGATTTTTTTAAACAAGATTCGATGTTCTGTTTTGTTTGAAAGTTATTTCTTTGTAAATGTTCATACGGCCATCCATCAAGAAATTAGATAATAAATTAATGGTAATTCATTTTTCTTCTTACCTGTGGTATTTCCTTGGATCACTTTTTCTCAGGGTTGAGACATTTCTTGAAACGGTCAGTTTTTTTTCTGACACTTTTTACGTTTTGCAGTATACAGTAACTTTGTTTATTTCAGTGGTTTCATATGGATATATTTGATGTAGAATTGTTTTGTACATATACATTTGGGGTAAGCATTTTTGCGCTTTATCGAGGTTTTTCTCGCATACATATTATTGTCGGTGATACAGTAATCTTCTGTAATTATTGATGAAAATATATGGTGGGAAAGAATGTGTATTCATTTGGCCTTTGTTCTACATTTTCCTCGAAAAATTTGATCCATAAAGCGCTTCCAGTTGTAATTTAGTTATTGTTCCCTTTTTTAATCTCAAGAACTGCTTGTCACTTGGTGTGATAGTGGGATGAATCCCACAGAGCACTCAGTTTTGAATATATTCGGTTTATGGTCGACCTGTTTTGTGGCTTTCAAATTTTAATATAACAAGATTGACGATTTTGTTTTTCTTGCAACATTGAACTGCAACACTGGAATGAGAATGCTGGAAAAACAGTATGGAATAATCTTGAGATGAGTTAATTAGAAGGTCGATGTATTTAAGAGAAAACAAACCAGCGGGCTCTGTTAGCATTGTGTCAAGTGGACACTTGGTCGCACTACATTTCAAACTACAATTTCCTGGTCTTTTTATGCTGAGAAATTAGTCTTTGAAATTGTCCATTAAAGGGGTCAAATGTCTAGAACTGAGGGGTCAGAGTTAATTTCGAGCGATAGAATAATATGTGAGATGTCTAAACTAGTTGAAACATTTTGCATAAGAGCGATTTTCTTCTTTTATTTAACCGTTCCATTCCAATTGCTGTCATTTGTTCTCGATTTGTAATTGTAATAGGAGGGGAGAAGGTAACACCATAGCGGCTTTCTAAAAACCCATCGGAGGGAAGCAGTTCCATCACTGATTCATTCTCTTACTCTTATTTGAGGGAGATGGAAAATGTTGGAACGAGAGATGAACGAGGTCACTGGTATGGAGAATTTAAAAAGCATTGTGGTCTTAAAATACTTTCATTATTCTCTCTGGCAGAATCATTTTCATCAACTAATATAAATTTTTATTTCATAGAAAACTAGTAAATCAACAGCATGTCGGTGTTATGTGTACATTTGCCGTAATTGAAATTTATAGTAAAATTATGAACGAAATCATAATAGCTTATATCTCAGATGAAGAAAGTCTGCGGCTTTTCGATTATTGCAACCGCTTTTCTAAATCCTGCAAAAAAAAAGCAGCTCTATTAAAAGTAAGCTTTTTAGATGATTGTTCAAGATTTTCTTAACAGACAGGAAATCAATTCAGAGATGTTTGTTGATAGATTTCAGTTCATCAATGGACTTGAGATACAATGTTTTTGATCCTTATTGAAGATCAAGCTTATCTGCAAGAAGTGGCATAAAGAACTGTGTAACTGCTTCAATCATATAAACAAAGAGAATGCGTAGATATTATATGATAATAAAGCTTGCTGAAAAGCAGCTCATAATATTATATGACATCAAGTTTTGTTCACATATAAGTTATGGAAGAGGAAGCGAGAAGATAATCTTTGTTCAGGATCAATGCTAAAGAACATGTTTCATCTTCTTTAAATGAAACAGCAAAAAAAGTAAGCGTATGAGGCAGTATCACCACAGACTTAATCAAATTATAAGAGAAATTATTAATTCCTTACAGGAATCAATAACTTATAATAATTAAGTTAATGCTAAATTCTCGAAATAAATCGTGCAACATTCTTCCTAGCCTTTATGGAATCGCCCATATCGAGCTCATATGACGCCCTCATTTGACATCAAATAGCTCGGTCAGCCAACGTTACCTCCACGTCAATGTTCCACTTTTTCCACTTTTCATAGCAACAGTTGATTGTGAATATTGCGTCGCACTATTTTCATTGTAACCTAATCAAAGAAATAAAAAGTCATCAAAATGGTGTAGCGAAATGCTTCTTGCAATAAACCGATTTTGTCTGGCTTAGTCAATTTGTTGGATGGCGGTATTCGGCTTGTTTATTTATGGTTTGGGGATAGGAATTTTTTGGTGTAATTCAGCAAGTTAGGCTCATTAAAAAAAGTTTATACGCACTTCTTGACTTATTTAAAGCTGTAAATCTTTCCACGTTGAGATTCAAATTTAGACTTGTTATTGTATTCAATTAAACTTGAGCATAGATTGGTGTGCCCCTTCCTAGGCTTCGGTTAGAATTGTACGTTGAGATTTTGACTGAAAACCAGTTTTCGTATACTTTAAATTTTATTCATTGTAGTGTCTTATTGTTTTCTTGAATCATTTAGACACAGTTCAGTTGTAATGGAAACGAAATTAATTTATTAAATGCATATGGCTCATAGCATTAAAGAAGACAAAAGATTGGCTTATTTGACATTTGTTCATGTGTCCTTGCTTTGATAGTCTCCGAACAAACAGCAAAGAAATCCGTTTTTCTGTTCCACTAGATGATTTCGATGTCTCATACCAACTCCAGTGGAATTGAAATTGGTCTATGCTAGAGAATGGACCAACTTCAATAGTACCCACTTGTGCAAGGATCTTTTGTAATCATATTTGTAGAATAAATTGAATTGGTTCACTTGATTGAATTAATAGCTTGTTCTTTGTAATGTAAGCCTGAAGAGCTGTCTCTCTCCTGAGTGATCTATGGCAACTTGTGTTGTATAGATCAGTAATAGCTTTGATTCAGATTGTCCTGCATAGCCTGAGATACAATTGCGTGAAAGAAAATAGCATTAAATTTATTGATTACAGACATATGCGTCTTTTTTTCACTGAAGATGAAATCTGATAGTACGTTTTAGTAATAATGAGCGCTACTATATTACTGTATCCTTATCCTTTTACTGTCGGATGCTGTTTTCAGAAATGTGGGTACGAGCCCGGAATACTTTCAGAGTAATTGATGATTATATAAATGGCTGTTACAATGAACAGAGCACTAGTACTTCTCTAGAGCAATTGATGACTATACTAAATAAAACCCGACCATCACTCATCAATATACTTCGGAATTCGGTTGGTCTTTTTCGAAGTTTCAATTAAAAGTTTCATAATACTGTTTATGCAATAAACAAAAGAAATGTGATGACAATGAAAAACGAAAAAACGAAATTTATAAAATATGAAGTTATGTATTATGTCATTAGTGAGTGGTTCAAGTCGAAATAACTTTATGTGTTTTAACTTATTTCTTTAACCTTATATTAATCTTGTATTTTCCTGTAATTTATTTTGCAAGCATGCTTGAAATCTCGGTTAAAATAAATTAGATCATACCTAATCATGGTATAATTATGGTATGATTTATGCAATATTGTGCAGAAAATTGTTTTTATTTTTTTCCAGAGTAAAAATTCACTCCATCGTTCGGTGCTGAACAAGAATGGTGAGGTAGTGGAATTAGACAGTGGAGAAGTCGTCAAAATAGATGACGGACTGAGGAACGAAGCAATAATTATATCAGATTTATTTAACTGTGATGAATTCGATGCTCTTGAACTAGTAATAACCGGTAATAATATTATCGATCGTTTTTGTCTAATTTCATAATATTCTGATTATGAATTGACTCAGTTAATAACTCTTAAACGACTTCTTGAAAGATATATACTGTTTTATTTTTTGAATCATACCATGACTACTTCTTAATTGGGCGGCACGTGATGATAATTCTGGCAGTCAAAAATGAAAAAATAACATTGTAGTAGGGAATATTTTTTAAATGATATTGTCTAAAATGTTTCTGTAAATATTGACAGTTAACTGTTAATATTTATAAAAACAGCTTCATAGCTTTATTTGTCTAAGTAAGAATATGACGTGATTGATTTGTTTGCTAGGTGAAGTGCAAATACAGCATTTTCCATTTTTAACGAGAGGTCTTTGTGCTGTTGTTTGTTACTATGATGCACATCGTTTTATCAGTGCAGCTGTGAAAGTAAGTGAATATTCTCGGAATTTCATTCTTGACGTTTATATTTGCTTGACTGAAACTTAGTTTGGAATTGGGAAAACATCGATATTTATTGCTTTCGATTTGAGATATTAAATTACGTCCATTATACGCCGTAGATCACTGCATTATCAGTGCCTTCATATCGTTTTATTAAATGTTGATTTTTTGTAGGCTTTAGCAGAATTCAGAGTTGATGAAAAAGTACCGAAGCCACGAGAACTTTTCGAGTATCTTAATCAGTTACTTAGTGATACTGTATTTATTAGACGTCTTATAGGTATACATTTCAAAATTCTAAATAATTTTCAACATTATATATGATTTTTATTCATGCCCATAATTGATTGATTTTTTCATGAATTTTTTGAAATTGGTGGTTTTTGTAGCGATGCTTTCAGAAGTTTTGCAAATTGTAAATGTGCAATCTGAATTACAAAGTTTGCATCATCCACATGTAAATGGACTGGGCGGCCCGAAACATCAAGAAATTGTGAGTTATTTCAATTTTAAAATATGTGTTCACTTGTTTTTATTAATATTCTTGTTGTAGTAAATATTTTTGCAGTTGCGGGAATTAATTGAAGAGACATTAGAAAACTGTGCACAAACATTCCATTTCATATGCTCATCATGGCAGTTGGAATCAGCACCACCCTTCTTAAATGATTTATTTGCACCGCTGAAAGATTTGCAGCCGAACACACCTTTTAGAAATACTCATTTATCACTATGGACTGCAGCGCTAATATTGATATCTCCACACAATCTCCAGAATAGTAATTTTCCATAATATTTTATCTTTTTTTATGTTTTGACCCAATGTTTACTGTGGAAATACATTTGCTTTTTTTCTAGTTATACAAAAAAATCGAATTTTTCAGTGCGATGTGCACGAGATTTGTTGATGGGATTTCATAAGGAAGTGATTTTGGAAGACTGGCAAGATTCATGTTTGCAAGCTTCATTACAGTTCGCAATCGTGGTTTCATACAATTGGCTTAGTGTTCATCAACTTGTTCAAGAAGGTTTGGTATTACATTCAGTTGACAGTTTTGTTATTGATTTTTTCTCAATTTTGATTGAATTGTTTAAATATCTATTTTCACCGTCATTTCTCAATAGTTCTGGGTGATTTTGCTATCAAAGAAGATGATTTGCTTGAAAAGGCAGTCGATGGATTAGCTTTCCAATTCATTCGAAAATGCGTTATTGCAATGCCAAAATTTAAAGAAAACTTCATGGCTTTTGCTACGGTTGATACATTGATCAAAAATTTTATTGCTCATTTGAGTAATCAGGTTAATATTTTACTAGATATTTTGATTTTATTTTTCCATAGTTTCATTTTTAAATTGCGTTTTGATTTCATGAATTCATCGCCAGTTATTTCCCGGTAAACAATGAAACTATACAAGTACTGAAATAATTAACATTCTGCCGATGACAGGGACTATTTTAGGTTGTTCTGTTGCAACGTTCTAGTGAAATAGAATTACAGTACGTCGAGGAAATGTTGGAGCGTGGTCAGCTTTACAGACCTCGCCTTCATTTTGAAAATTTTATTCGTTGTATCGCTGATTTGTATGATGGTGATTCGAAATATTTAGAGCAATTATCTGCACAGTTTTGCTCCAGTGAGAGCGTGAGTTTCCAGCGTATTTAACTATATTTGGTGGAGATCGTAAATTATTGCTTTGAACTTGCTGATCTAGCAGTTGTTCAGTCCCATCGTCATATTATTTTTTCAGCTTTGGAAATTACTTGTTTCGCGAAGGAACATTTGCAGAATAACATTGGCTGCGATTTTTCAAATAATTTATCTAATGCTACAGTTCGTAACTACGTAAAACACTACGGAACAAAAATAGAAGGACTCCCAAATCTGATAGAGCATTACTAACTACATGTTTATTTCTTCGTTAACTTTATCTTATTATAGGAAGAATTGGTGAAATTTTTAAGAAATTGTCGACAGCTTATTTCACCCGTACTACAAGTCGCTTTTCTCGATATGCTAAAGAACATCTGCAAATGTCAGGAATCGGCATACTTCATATTTGGATTACTTTCTCCATGTCATACGAAATTTGGTAGTATTTTTGAAATACTAAAAATTTCGACTTACTTCCATCGAAGTTTCTGACAAATTTTGAATTTCCACGGAAAATCAGATATGGTATACATTTTGTTACAGCGCAAAATACGCTCTCTTGGGATCATTTCTGGAAAGCAATGCATGATTATCTTGGACTTTTTAAACGGAAAAAGAGTCAGACATCAAACATAATGCATGCAGCACCCCCAGGACAGCACGATAATTTCCAGCAGATTCCACAGTCAGAGTTAGCTGGCCTTGTGGCATGGGTCCAGCTTGTAGAAATCATTGCCAAAAATGTAAAATTTCATGAATAATTAAAGTTCTTATTTGGCTTTTGATTCGTAAAGATTGATGAAGAATAAGATTTTTTATTTTAGTTGCTTAAAATTTATCTAGTAAAAATTGTTTTAATTACATGACCTAATCGTTGAAAAATTTCTTGATGTGATCTCATTTAGGATCAAACTGCTCGTTGCCATTTCGCAGACAACAGTTCATGGTCATGCATAGAAACAGCAGTAAGCCTGGTAACTTCTCCAATCCCCCTTGTTTTGAAGGGAGCACTGTTCCGTTTTTTAGCTTCAATTGCAATTGATGAACGTGGTGCTCTGAAGATTTGGGCAATGTTGATATCACTCTCTGTTTTGAATAAAACAAGTTCTGGGAAACTCGTTGGCATACAGGTATGCTTTTTAAAGTTTTATTCATCGGTTGTCTAAAATTTGTAATCTGGAGACATTATTTTAACCATATGTATACTCTTTATTGTTAATAATATACGGGTATTTTAGATTTGATCATTAATATTATTGAAGGATGAATTAGAAACACGGGAATGTACCTTTAAGTGCTACGATTCATCCATTGGTTTCTTGTACCTTATGAAAACTCTGTTTCTGCACGCAAAAAATATCGATAAAAGATATTTGATGCAATATCTTCAGTTTATCGTTAAATCCATTATCTGTCAGTTTGCGGATCGTTCATATGAAAACGTTGCACAAATGGTTTGTTTTTTATTTTTTGGATGAGTATCTATAACATTCTTTCCTTTTTCTGTCAAATTCTTTTACTAGTTATTGGTAGCTCCATCAAGTTATGGTTGTAGATTTCATTTAAATTCTATTGGTCAGAAATATCTTGATACATCCGTTCATCCCAATTTTCATTTTCAGTGGCATTTATGCTCTGCGGCATGCGACTCTCTGTACAATTTTCTTCACCGTTATGCAATTACAGCGGAAGCAATTCTAAATGCTGACCCGCAAATTGTTGTCCTTACGCAAATCTTAAACGATTCTCCTGTGTTTCGATCGGTAAAATGATTTTGTTTTTTCACGTCATTTCTTTTAGCAAGCTATTCTTTGTTGATAATATTTTCTCTTTACTTCAGGATTTGCAGTTAACGGTACACTTCAATGTGCCAAAAATTTGAAAAAAGTATATCCTTCAAAATATAACATTTATACTTCATACCGTGGTGATTTTCACTTGATTCGTAATAATATAATGTTTTCTTTATTGAAACTGTTAAATCCATATCAGCTGAAAAATTCAGCTAGGTGCAGTATTATGTGATGGAGCGGAACGTTTGCAAGATTTTTCTCCTCGTTCAATGGACCGCGAAGTAGCTGTACTATCAGTACTGCGTTTATTAGATGTTAGCGTATCGTTACATGCACCCTTAATAGATGCAGTTCGTGCCACTAATTCTAGTATAATAATTGCATCATTGGATTCACTTTTTTTATCATCAGTGCAAGGTAATGTAACAACAACATATATTACAGTTATCGCTTCGTACTTGACACAGGTATTGTCTTATTATGTCTTTCACACTTTTATTCTTTCATTTCCTTAATTTTCTGGAATGCATTATGAGCTTCGCGTAATATTTATATATTAACATCTAGTTTATGGATTCTTCATTTTTCTCACTGAAATGTGAAGCAAAAATTATTCAGAAAAGTTCCAGTTACATATAAATGCTAACTGCAAAGTATATGTGTATAAATGCTTTAATAAAATGAGGACATCTGTTTCTATTCTATATTTTTGAGCTTATTTCATGTTATGATTTATCGCTTTACTGGTTTGACTAATTTTAGTCCGAACTTATCCCAAGACAAGCGTATCACGTAGTATCAATATTGCGAGAACTTTGCTGTTGTCAACCTTCCATACAAAGTCGTCTTGTACAGGCTCTTTCGCCGCTTTCTTTAGAGTTAATTGAAAGTTTCGCGAGATTGACTTCTGTGAAAACGACGGTGATTGAAGCCTTCGCTCTTGATTCGCCTGTTTACCACGGTTTGATTTCATATGATATATAATTTAAAATTTACTTTTTTTAGTCGATAATTCAGAAATAGGAAGAAGCTGCTGTAATTTCTGTCTGAACGAGCTATTAAAAATTTTATATCTTACAGTTTAGTCCTTTTTGGTGAATTATTTCAGGAATTGATGAATTGTCAGTGGCGAGGATACGTGGTGAGACAGCACGTTTATTCATTGAAATGTGCTCATCAAGTATTGAGAACGATCCAGGCACCATCAATTTAGTCTATCTTTTCTGTGGCCTCAGAATGCCTGATTTAGTAAATTCTGTTACTGAACCTTTAGGCAAGTTATGATTTCGTAAAATGTTCAAACTATCTGCAAGATTTTAGTAAGAACTGGAAGATTAAATTCTGCAGAAATTTTAATCTATAATATATTTCCTCTCACAAGGGATTTTAAATTTCAAAAACAAATGCGGAGTAACGCGCAATTTTTTTTAAACCTATGATCATAACTACAGTCGCATGTAAGATGGGAATGTTAAAGAAATGAATGAACCTGCCGTGAATAAGAAATCAATTTTAAAAAAAATTTCGACAAAATTTTAAGAAAAATTAAAAAAAAAATACATAATCGAAATTTGACAATAAATCTTGACATTTGTAATACTACATGTCGTTGGAAAAAGAAAATCATTTTTGAAAATATCGCATCATTTTTTTCTAAAGTACTTGCTATCATAAGCAGTTGATTTCAGGATTGAATGGTACCACAATGACCTGTTTACATAGTATGGTAGATTTACTAATAGAAATGGCAATTTCTGAAGCTCCATTTATACTTCCATTTGCTGCCCTTTTTGAACCAACACTTCGATTCATGGTAAGTTACTGTTTTATGATTTTGCTTTAATAAATCTTATAATCAAATGCATCTTTTTCAGTTGTTATGGATTTTCGCTTTTGTTTTGTACACTTAATTTTTAATGATTGCAAGGATTTAGATCACTTTTAGAGTTTTGTTAATTTCAATAGTTACAAGCTCAAATTGCTTCATTTTTTTCGTTTTGCATATATTTAAATCATCCCTTTGCAGTTGCAGCTCGTATCAATAAAGTCTGGTTGTTCAACTGTTGTCCTTAGATTTTTTCGCTCAAATTACGACCTTATCTATCGTTTAGCATCTTGTTCATTGCTTTTGGACACAAAAGCGCAGAATGATGGAGAAGAAAATATGGTGCTAAAGAATCTAAAAATCACTATTCAAGGACTTATACTACATTTAAGTGCCATTGAATTGTCTTCTCTCTTACAGAATCGACACTACAGGTTTATATATGTTTCTAGCGTTAGCGCAGTCTCGTAATGCAATTGGAATGGGTATTGAAGCACAATTGTTTTGAAGATTTAACAGATCTTATGTCCCATATTGGTGGATAAACTTGATGAAATCAATATTGATGATCCTAATGAAACCAAATACAAATCTCCTTGGTTAAAATAAACACTTATTTCATGGCTTCATTGCTTGATGAAATTACGTTAATGAGTCCAAAGATTCAAATTAGTTTTGTTCTAGTCAACCAGAACGTTATTTTCACCTGATGCTATCGCAGAGAGATGAAACAGTGGAGCAACAAGATTCGGCAGTCGAGCCTGTACTGGGACAAGTTACTATCGGCTACATTCGAAATGAACAAAGGGATGAAAAAGGTAGATTGGCAGCTTGTATTAGGCATTATTTAAATACTTCAAATTTAGTGTGATATTTCGGCTGCATCTATATTTAGAAGCAAAAAGTTTCCGGATTTTTTGAAGTCTTTTAACATGCAGCGTAAGAGGGAATAATTATTTGCAGTTTTTCAAATTTGTAAGACTTTCATCAAAAACAGTAGTTTCAAATTATTCTTTTCTAGAATGGCCTTTTCTATGGAAATTATTAAGAACAAAAGTTGGTTTTAATGAAATAGAGATTCCGGCAATGGAATTGCTTAATACGAAAAAATTGCAACAGGTAAGTAATTATGTACAATATTTTGTTTTTTTGTGCTATGAAAACGGGTATTTGTTCAGACGCAAAATAGTGAAATTTTGCTTTAAAATAAGCAGAGAAGTGGAAAAGAAATTCTAGTTTCATAGCATTGAGTGATTCAGGAAAATTTTTGCAAACCAAGTGGTGAAATGAAATGCGGCATTGTCTCAGAAAGTATATTGTATAATTTCCAGATCTTATCATTGTGTTTGCGTCCAACATCTGCAAACATTCAGCAATGTGATATCGAGCATTTAAATTGGCTGATTTATAGAGAATTTAGCATGGTTGCTAATGAGATGCAGCCCAAGTTCAATTTCGAAGTCTCACAGGTATCTAGTATTACATCTGTCGCTATTTCGAAATTAAAAAGTAAAGATTTTTTTAGGGGTATATATATATATTATCATGTAATGCAATAAAAAGAGATTGTACTTTGCTTTTAAAAAATTTCGTTTTCACTGCATTCTTTACAGGATATTAAGCAGTTGCTTCAGTACTGTACAAATTATAACCTTGCAAAAAGTGCAGAAGCGTCATTGCGACAGCTTCTTTCTGGTTGGCTATCGTTTGTAAATGTTCTGGCTATATTCTGTCCGGTTCCGTTTCTCGCCATCGGCAAGTTTTTTCATTTACAGTTTATTTTTTCTGGCTTGAAGTAGGATTTGTGTTTTAGCACTTCTAATTTCACACGTCAGAAAATATTCAGATAGAATCCGGTTATGTTAATTGCTGGAGAATTATAAATATGAATTACTTTCAGACGTTCAGTACCAGTATCTCTCAGATGCATTATATCTTTTATTGAATTATGCTTCGGATACATACATGGACGCAAAAATTTCTTCAGCAGTTTCACAGTGTCTTCTGAGGTTGGTATGCATGTTGTTGTTATTATGGTTATCCGTATTTTAAACAGAAATTTCACGAAATCATGAATTAGTCATATATTCCTTTGAGATTTAATTACAAAATTTTCTTCAGATTGACTGCTTCGATTTGCACATTATTAAAGACTTTAAAAGAGGAGATTGGTGCGTTTAGAGTTGCTATTACTGATGTTGCTGATGCTCTGATCCGGTTTCTGATACAGCCAGGTATATTTATCCTTGCGTTTTGTTTATATATAAACTTTTTATTTCCTATGGAAAATCTGTAGTTTTACAATTTTAAATCTTCTTGCAATTTTAAATCTTCGAAGTCTTTCAGGCAAACGATCGTTGCAGACAAAACTAGATTTATATGCTTGCATTTCACTTATTTTAAACTATTCAACGGAAGCACTTGTTTCGGAAAAAGAGGGACATCAGGATGTTTCTCATTCTGATGATGACTTTTTGTTTAGTTCAACAGCTTTAAATATTGCACAACAGGATATTTTGCGAACTGTGTTCACAAAATATGGACATGAACTAATTTCGCTTCTGTCCAAAGATATTTGCGATTCGCCTCCAGGACTTAGAGTAAGTTATTCGCAATTAAATCTTTCATTTTCTTATTGCTTTGAAATATGAGGTTAGTTTTTTTTTTTTTTATAATTTATGCAATTCTTTGTTATACTAAAAAATTGTTACTGAATTATTGAAACTAATTATGTTAAAATTAATTTTTCGAAAACAGAGCTTTCATTCTATTACTGATTTGCCAATTGTTTTACTGTAGTGTCCTCGGTTATTTCGTATTTATTTTTCTTATTTATTCAGGTATTCAGGTGTATTTATTCAATTATTCGGATTGATGCAGTTAGTGGATTATTTTAATCTTTATAAGATATAGTAAGGAGGGTTAATAAAATAACGTATTTGTCATTCTTTTGAGTAACAATCGAGTTAGGAAGTGATTTTTTTGCGTTTTTTATTTTATTCATCCTTCTTTTATTCTATTACAAGATATTTATTTCTTCGACTTCTTGAACATGGTACCAAAATTTTGTAGTTGTGATTCGAGTTAATGAAATTTTATGCAGGAAGAAATAATTCTTGCTGGTCGAGCACCATATGTTTCAACAATTAGATCGTTGACGTCATCTCGTGAGGTGTTAGGCTTATCAATAAGTAGTGCTTCTGGAGTCTGTATTTGAATACATTGAGGAACATATTCTCTGTTACTGCTTTCTGTTTGTGTGTTCACATCGACATATGCATTTTCTTTCTGCATGATTCTTAGTAACGGGCATTTGTCCTTAAGTAGTTACATTGTCATTTAAAAGAATGAAAAAATATTTTTCTAAAGCATAAGCGAATGAAGATCGATGACTGAAATCGAATAAAAGTAAATATTTGATTGCTTACCTCAGATTGTAGAACTCCCAAAGTAACATAATGATTTAGTGGGCAATCTGATATGAAGTTTAAATTGTTTGAACTGTCAAAGCTTTCAGTTTCATAATTTATTGGAGATGATACTTTTGTTGTCATCGGCATGTACATTCGACCCGGCACCCAATAAGCGCGACTATAAAATCATTTTAAGTAGTCTGAATTACCTTTGTTTATTTGCAATGAGTCATTAGTACTAACATAAATAGATGTCTTTCTCCTTTCTGAGATTGAAAAATGACAAAGAAATATTTCTAATTCAGTTGAATTGGCTTAGTTTGCCTGAATTTCGTGTGAAGAAAATTGATGAAGAGTGAGATGAGCGATAAACCAATAAGCAAGTAGCCGAAAAATATAATGAATGAAGAAGTGTTTTCTGAAAATTTGTTTGATTTATGGTTAATTTTCAACTCCTCTTCAATTTTTTTCTCTGCCTTTTCTTTTAATGGATATCTCGAAGGAAGCTAATTTTCTTTCAAAAAGTCCTAGTAGAAACTTGAAACTGTGTCGCTTTGGTCTATTGATCTGATACACTTGCTACTATTCAGATGCTTTCCATTCGCTCAATCTTGGAATTCTCTCTTACCCTTTTCTGATAAGCATTTTTTTGTTCATCCTTAACAAAGTTTTCTAATTCAACGTATAACAAACGTTTAAAATGTTTTGCTGAAATTTTTAGAAATTTCAAACTCATTTATAAAAGAAAATGTTACCGTCCAATTTCATATCTCCAACACCAGTTGTAGTCAGTGAATTGAATATGAAATATAAAATAAAAGAAATTTGTGCCTGCGACAAATAAAAGTGAACTATTATGCATCCAACAGTTATCCAGCCGGTTACTGCCATTATGGCAATCATTATCGGTATATTGAGTAAATGATCTATTAGTCGTAGTCTGCAGTTTAAATAAATATTCTATTAAATATTTAAGCTTTGATTTGACTTGAATCATTAAATAATTCCTATTTACCATCATGGTATCAGTTTGATAATATAAACAATAAAAGTTTGATACAAGTTCATTTTTACTATCCCAACCTCATTATGTCTTAGGTCTGAACAGTATTTTTGCCTTAATCCAAAAATATCGTAACTCAGCGTTCTTTAACAAAATTTCAGTATATAGGGTCACCAAAAGTTCATCTCTTCACTGGTTCGTTTTCAGTAGAAAGTGTTGCTTAGTTCGAGATTTTCAATTGTTATATCCAAGAAATGAGTTTTATCCTTCATTGTGCCGGTAGAATAACAATGATTGTTTTGAGACCTTTTAGAATCATTTCCCTAATCCGTTCATTTTTTAGGTTCTAAATGATTTTTAAGCTGCCGTCGCACAGCAAGTCGCTTGAGATTTGAATGTTTCGTATAACAGCAGTATTAAAGAAGTGCAAATCCCTTATTGAATTCGTTTTCCACAGGTGTACAGTGCTAACCAACACATTTCTAGATGTAAAAGCAAAATCTAAACCATAATTAGGCTTCATTCTATTGCAGTACATATGCAGGAAGAGTACCTGTAATCAGAATAACGCGCTGCGTTTATACCGTGTATCTGTTGAATAAGCTCATTTTCATCTACTGATTGCAATGTACAGTAGCGAAATATATGCCAGCAATAAACTGTAAAAGTTTTCTCTGTCATCATTGATCCTAGGATTATTCTGCAAATATTTACAAATAGTTTCTGGCTTTACTTATATCTTTTTTGCCGAAAAGATTTTATTCAGTAGAATATTTTGCTAAGCATGTATGAAGATGGGATACTATCGAAATTTAATTAAATCTTAATTACTGTTACCGCTACATTAATCTAACTCTTTCCATAGGCATAGTTATTTACCAAAGCAAGCACATGGGTAGCGGAATAAAACTGCAATAAGATAAGAAAGGTCTTTGATAACCATGAATGTGAATGGTATGCCAATCATCGCACATATCATTGAGAAATACCGACCACCTTCAGTGGTTGGATAGATGTGAACGTTACCAATTGTAGTTACTGTAGACCATATCTGTAATTCGTGGATTTGCTTTTTAATTTGAATAAAATACTTTAAATAAGTGCTGCTGCACCTCTATTTGTTATCATGATACGACTTTTATTCTAGCATTTAGCAGTAATTTGTTCCATAAAAATGAGAAAATGAAGCAATGAAAATTGATTTCGAAAACTTACAAAGATGAGAGAATTAATGTAGTTGCATGGGAGCATGGGTTTTGGCGAACGTATTTTGAGCGTGTCTTCGTATTTCTTCAATATTTCATTGAGTGTTTTCATCAAATATGGTGATTTATCATCATGTATGAATACCAACAACTTCGTGTTGTTGAATATTTGTGGTACCATGTCATAAACAATAAAGCTGAAATGTAAATAATCAAAGATTCTTTTCCGGACTAGATTTTTAAAGTGCATTTCAACGCCATCGAGTTTTATTAAGATCAGGTCAGATTTCTTAACCATAATTCATAACTGATATAAACATTCCGATTTAAACGAATGATTTTTCATTAAATTTTTTTTCCTCTTCCATATCCTAAGTAAAACAAACTTCATTATTTTCCTTTCATTATTGGTAATTATTTTCGCTTTGCTTCAATAGCTTAATAAGACACACTGACACTGATTATCAATCTATTCTATAAGTCGTACCTTTTTCTGTGCTCTGCAAGTGCATCCAGCCAGTGTTTTCTTAATCTATTAACATTGACAGTTTCGAGAATCATGAATATGCCAGCAGCAAACAACAGGAAAATGATGTAGCCGATAAGGAGGACAATGTGTCCAATACCAAATTTATGATAAAATTGTTTGAACGCCTTGGCGACTTTGATTGCTGTTTCATTAGATATGCACATATCGCTTTGAGAATTCCGAAGAGAATGCAAATTTTATCAAGCATATTATGCAGCACATTATTTTAAAGGTAGAAAGAGGAATTACCAAAAGTTTGATGAAATAATTTTTAAGGATATATTGTTTATTTTTTAAAGATCTCTGTTCAATATTTATTTTATGAAGTACATTTGATTCTGCAGAATTTATTATTCTGAAAACTGTCGATTATGTGAATTGATCACGAAACTGAAGTAAGGAAGTTATTACAAAAAGGAAATGAATATTTTCTCTTATCTGTTCTTTTAACTGTAAATTAATTGGGTTGTTTTCCCATATTCTGCAACTGTAAAGTCACTACACTGCTAAAATGGAAGTACGATCGTTGAACGTCTGCCTGAAAAAAGAAAAAATTTAAAGGACCGGGAAACGAGAGATTCGTTCGAAAATATATTGCAGTATTAACGGTTGAGGGAGATTTAGGAATAATATGGAAAAATTGTGTCTATCTGGTATGTAGACCAATAGTGAACACTGGGCAACAATTAGAAAGCTTTGGTTTGCCAAGCCCGAATCAGGAATTATGCTTTTCGCGACATTTTTTATCTTTTCTCTTACAGTAACTTTTTGCAGTGTTTATCTTTTTTTCTTTGCTAAACTGGAAGATGAGAAGAATTCAAAGAAATTAATGCAGTAGCGAATATCTCTCTTGGGAATGATTTTTTCATTTTAATAGCATGTTATGCTATGTATTGCCATCACTACCATTCATTTTTTTAGTTTTAACTTTTTCCAGCCTCCTACTAGACTTGAGAATAGTTAGGCTTTTTGTTAGACAAGAATTTATGAGTGAGACTTTGTTATTTCTTTGTTTATGCATTTAAAATCCCATATTAGATCAAGTCATTAAGTTTCTTCAATGTTTTGCGCATGCTTTTAGTCTTTTATTTATCTGACCAGTTTTTATGTGGAAGAGAGTTACTGTTTTCCCTAATTATCTTTGAAGTGCAGTAGACAAGCAGAAAGACATCATAATTGATAGCACTCATTACTAATATATAAGTTTTTATAACGCAGGGATTTTACTGTTCATTGGGAATTGAGATTTACGAAGTTTTACACTTTTCTGTCTCTCATAAACACATTTGCCCCTTACTTGGTCTTTGGTTATGGAACAACAATGCTGATTGTGAGATAAAAGCTAATGGAGTTAAACAAACTTTAATCCTTTCATTCTCGTGCATACTCGAAACAGTTTACGAAATTTTAGTTTGTGGCATTATTTTGTCTCACACAAATACTGCGTGAAGACGCACTGGGATCTCAGTCACTAGCATCTGAATTTCTTCGTACTGGTATGTTACGATATGTTCTGGAATCAGTGGCAGATGTTACTTTAAGTGGATCCGAGATTAATGATATTCGTTCTTTGGAACATTGCAATATTGTATTGGTAGGTTCAGCATTACCTTTCGAAATAATTGATCGAATTCAGTATATTGCTTATTTTTTGCTTAACAAATTTCTGAGAGCACTGAGTAAGAGTTCAAGAAGTTTTCCACATACTAGAAGTTAATTTTCTTACGTAAGTTCTTTTTTGCTCAGTTCAAAAGTTTAATGATTAAACAGCTTTTTTAAAACCATAAAACATGATAAAAACCGAATTGTTTATAGAAAAGAGTTCATGTATTTTGTTATTATAAACTTGCAAAATTTGTAAATTACCGATCGATAATACCAGTAGAGTTGTAGACTTTATTTATTCGGTTGGGACTTACTAGTTGCGGTTGGAATGGTCTACATGATGTTAACGCTTTGCAAGTATTAGCGAGCATCCCTCTATGGTCAAATCCACCGAAAGATTTGTTTCTTGCATCTAATTTTGACCTGAAGTAATTTTTTTATGCACTCGTTAACTGCATAAATTTGTTGTTGCTTATTCAAATTTATATTCCACTTTCGAATGTGCTTCTCTATGAAATCGGCACTCTAGTAAATTTGAACTACTTAGTATTAAAAAAAAATTCAGTAAGCGTTATTGATGCTGAATAATTGTAGAGCGCGCACCATTCCGTCACTGTACATGAATTGTGTTGCAAACGTAGTGTATCTTTGTATTGCATTATGTTCGAATTCACACTGGAAAAGAGTCTCAATCGAGGTAAATATTTAATGCCACCATAAAAATTTTGTATGAAATATGTAATATTTAGTTAAGAAGAAAAAAAGTTAGGAAATAACCAGACTGTGTGAGAATTAGGTAAATGAAGAATTTCAACTGAATTGAAGTAATGAATTATGTAAAATAGAATGAACTCCTAAATGCTGCGATGAAACGTGCTGTATTTATCATTTTTCGCTTTTATAGGTTCTTGGACTGTTATCATGTAGTGCAGACGTGCTGAACCATTTGATGCGAACTAATAAGCAAAATTTATTTCTCGTGAAATGTAGCATTCTTATTGCACATATTCATCATTTTGGTATGGTATATATTATTTCATATTTTAGAGCGTCTAAAGGCTCCATAATAGTTTCGAAATAAAAACCATCATCTTTTTCTGTTACTAAAATATTGAAGCGCAATTAGATTTTTGTTAATAGACTACGTTAGATTGCCTCGTCTTAAAAACTTGAGTTATTTTCAATTTGTCGGTATAAGCGGAACATTTTTTTTTTCGAAACCTTACGGCAGCAGTTTTTTGCTTATGACTTTTTACATATGAGTATTTTCCAGATACCTCAGCTCGGCCATTTATTGAGAAATCAAGCTGCTTAAATGCTTTAAGGAAGTTGTCCGGTAATATGTCATCATCTTCTCCAGTCTCTTTGAAAGCCGCTTTTAACACTCCACGACATCTCTTCAATAATTCCAGTTCGATCATTAGCTGATTTTACAAACGTATTGTGTTGATGTTGCTTTATTTAAAAAGTTGAAGATTAACATATCACTATCACTGGCAAAATTTCTTAACAGTGATAACTTTCTATAGAATGTTTTATTACTAATACTTTGTATTGTGCAACAATTGTCAAAATACTCAATGTTTAAGGCTATTTGGGATTGTCTTTGTGCTAAGGAAAATGAAGATGATAAGATTCAGGGAGTGGTCGAAATTTTAGATAGTTATGAAATCAGTGGACATCTAAATTTCTCGTGCCTTTATGTATTGTTCACTCTTTATGTTGGAAGCGAATAAAGTTCTTATAAATTAAAAGTTCTAACGCTTTTTTATAGGAATTTATTGAAATTATCACATTCGTAACTTTTAATGCCTGATGTCATGCTGATTTGTACTGAGTATGCTCTAAGCATATAATTCGTCCTCTATCTAAGGTACAAGATTAATTACATTCTATCGGACATGTTATTTTTTGTGAGTGTATAATTAGATTTACCCGCTGGAAGATGTATTAGTGGAAATCCATTGTTTTAAAATCAAAATTACAGTGTTCATCCAGAGTACGTTGTCTCCTCGGTTTGCTCTGTATTAAAACTGGAATGCATAACACAATTGGATTTTAGGAAAACTAGAGTAGCTATTCGTGTTTTCATTTGTTTATTCGAAAATCGACCCTCTATTGTATCTACAAGGAAGATAAAATTTATATTCCTTATCATCACCAGTTTACTGATATCCATATTTGTTGTAGTATAAATATCATGTTATAATAAAATATGGATATCAATAAATTGTGTGATGGGAAGGAAGTATGAACGAATGCCTAATAGTTGTCGCGAATTTCGATTCGCGAAACTTCAACCATACAAANAAATAATCAAATAAATTTCTTATTGTAAACAAATGTTCCTAGTGTCATGACTCATTTAATTAATTCTGCATTCCTTCAAATTATTTCTCATGACATTCTTGTGTTATCTAAATCCACATCTTCCTATTCACACATTTTGGTACGGAATTGTCTTTGTTAGCAACTGCTCGAAATAGCTATCTTAATTCCCATCTTTGTTCAGACACGTATCTTTATCCATATG